AATTACTCGTACTACTTACGAAATACATACAGTAGGTTTTTCATTCTTCTTTCCTTTTTCCTTTTTTTCATTTTTACCTGCATTATTTGGATATTATAATTTTTTTTATAAGAGTAATGATTATAAAGTTAGTAAGTTAATTATTAGTCACTGGTTCTTAGATCGGATGAACATTTCATCTCCTCAAATAAAGTGTGCGGTCATCAAGTCGCTTTTTTATGGAGTTCACAACGATGATGAAGTTCAAAATTCTGACTATCTCACCCAAACATTTAAAATTTGAGGTCGAACCATTGGATCACAAAACCTGCTTCGGATATTATAATTGAATATGGAACCATGCAACATCCACAGTATGGATGAGGCTGCAATTTGGTCTGCCACGTGGCATCTAGACCAGAATCCAATCCACAGATACAGTATGGGAGTATTCTATGGTATATGATCAAAGCAGACACACCTTATCCATACTCAGGATTGTATAAGTGATTTCCTTTCCCCTTTTATCATACCAAAAGAAATAAAGAGAAATTAAAACTCTTATACTTATGAAAATTTTGATTTATAATTTGAATTGTATTAAATTATAAAATATTAATTATTAAATAAAAAAATATATATCAAAAAAACCTAATTCTTAATTTTTGTACAATAATTAATATAATATAATATAATATAATACAATTCAAATTATATTATATTTTTTAATTAATTAATTAATTTATTTATTTTTGTTTATGGTTGGTTCATTAACATTTTATTCTTTTAATAAAAGAAGAAAAGCTGCGCTCTGACAGTTTTGCTGAATACAAGTATTTATTTGCCATTACATCTCGTGGGGTCACGTGATAGGATGAAGGTGCCTTTAGTTTGGACAACAAACTTATTTAATACAAATATACTCTTAGCTAAAGTTATTGTAATATACCCAATGTTACAGGTAATTTGTTTAATTAGTGCTAATAGACTAGAGATTGAATGGAAGCAGCACTCCACCAGTTGGTGCCTGTCTGTGTCCAAGGTTAAGACCATCAATTATGGCCACTTTTCATTTCAATTTTCAAAGCTGAAGTAAAAGCCCATGTTGAAATTGTTGCATGGGGCACTGATTCCAACACCATTTTTTGACCCTTGAAGATGTCTTTGTGTATGCCTGAAGCAAGGGGTCATCATGGCTCATCAACTTCCCATTTGGGATGGGATGCTCAGTAATGGCTATCAACATGACATTAGATGTGACATGTCCAATCTTCAAATATGAATAATTTGCCTGGTAAAAGTATACTTAAAAGTGCAGAAGTTTATTTTGTCTCTCAAAATTTTGATAGGGTAATACCTCAGCAACAGCAAGCTGTTACAATGAGATTGCATGTTCTCTGTTGTCTAGAAAGGTCTAGCCGCTTCTTCCATCATCTTCTTCACTCTTGTAAGCCTCTCTATTTCCTTAAGAACCTAAACATATATAAGGAAGAAGAGAAAATACATCATTAACAGTATTGTCTGTATTGAGAGAGAGAAAGAGAGAGAGCAATGCTTGCATCATATATTTCTCCACCTCCATAGTCATTTCTTCCGCAGTTACTGCATCCAAGTCAGCCTGATCTGCTTGACTTGCTATTTCTGATAACAGAAAGCAGCTGTTAAAACCAGTAATAGATGGCTTACAGTTATTCCATAAAGGGAAGAAAAATCACAGGAATGTACTTTGAAGGGAAACAATTGCATCAGCCGTGGCATATCCACTTTTTGTTTCTTCATAAAGAGCTGTTAGCTGAGACAAAACCTATTACTCAATCATAGAAAACTCAGCAAATTAGAGAGAGTTTTTTCAAATCACTAAAAGCGAACTGAGTGATAAGAAGAAAATCAAGAGGAAATATTATATGTAAGGCAAAACCTCTGAATAAGAACCAGGAGATATTTCTGGAAAATATATCTGATCTCTGTCTTCAGTTATACCCTTGGCCACCATATCAAGAGGTACATCGATCCAAATTGAGATCCCATGCCTTAGAAGTGCCCTATATAAACTTAGGAGTAAGTTGGCATGAAAAAGAAAACCAGAAAATTTTAAGATTAACAAACCCAATGACTAGAGATGGCAAGCTACTTTCAAAATATTGAAGCAAGACTCATACAGATTAGTTGAGCTTTGAACTGCACCATTTCCAGCACAAACTACCAGTCGACCCAGGGATGATAACTCCTTCAGCACTTCAGTCTGCAGCAGTATTTTATATGTCAATAAATGATCTAGAAAATTCTGCAAAAAGCTGTGTTAGCCTAAAGAAAACCTTAAGGCTTAAGTAGCAGATTGGAGGGTACTATGGTACTGCATATCTCCTTAATAACCAAGCTTGCATCCTAAAAAATGTATAAAATACCAAACAAGTCAACAAGTTACCTCAGACTCCCGAAATCTCTTCTCATCACTCTCCCTGAATGATTTGGCAGCAGATTCTCCCCCAGAAGCTTCGGCTACCAGACCATCACTGGATAAAATTGAATCCAAATAACAAGTTTAGCTAATACATCCTTCTAACCTAAATTATCTCTCCTTGGTTTTCCAGTGATAGAGAGCACAATACCTATCGAAGTAATAATATCGCAACACACCTGCCAGAAGTTTTCCCAAATTGGATTTAATGGAGTTGTTCATCCCTTACATATGAAATAGAGAATCATAACACACATATAAGAATAAGAAAACCTAAAGAATAATAGCACGCATGTAAGATCCTAAATAATCACAGCACACATGGAAGCATAAAAAGCCACAAGACTAAGGATTCCAAATCATTGCTCAAAATGAGTATGTGACACTTACCAACTAGGAATATGGAAGTTCCCTTCAGCTCCGGGCCTACATCTGCTGCCCTCTTCTGAATTAGAACTGAGCAGTTAAAAATGAGCACTTCAAGGCATAAGAAATCACCAAGCTACACTTTTTTTTTCCTTAGCTAACTGGCATCACATCATATCACACGAGTCTTGACATAGACATTGAGATAAACCCCTTAGCTACAGTGATAAGCAACGATGAAAATTTTGATGTCTGGAAACTATAATTATCTCTATGCAACTCAACTTGAATGCTAATTTATCCCCTTCTTAACTCAACCAATTATATTGCTCCTTTCTCTCTAAAAACTAGCATTATGGGAAAAGAATAAAAAAAAGATTGCTTTCAAAAACTAGAAACACTCTTAAATTTATCATCTTTCACTCCCTTAATTGAAGGGTTATATTTACTGTTACTGATTGAGAACGACTTTCTTCATCTATTCTTGGGTACACCCACATAACCGATGGTTAACATAACAACTTGAAACCCAAATGCAGGCATCTAAATGGAGAAATGAAATCTAACCTTCAAAGCAAGCGAGGGGTCAACGGTACCAACCTCCGTCGCTGAAACTCAAAGCAGCAGAGTAAGGGCATTGGATAAAATCAGTTAAAATGTTCATGTAATTAGAACACATGGATTAAAGAGAGCAAACAAAAAGGTTAACAGAAACTTTAAAGTTTTTAGGAGTTCAAAAGATAAGGACACAAAAGTGACAGTGGAGACGGAACTCACAGGAGGTACTGTCGTCTGCGAAAGAGCAAGTCACTGAGACAGATTTTCGCCGGAGAAGACGAGAAAAGGAGAGAAATTGGGATCGAAGGAAAGTGGGAGGAGACGATTGAGGCGGGGGATTGAGCTGGTAGGTCATAGGGAAGGAGAAGCGAAGGAAAGGAATTTGAAATTGGAGGGTTATGAGAGACGGGCGCGAGGTTGCTACTATCTCCATGGAAATGGAATGGAAGGTTTTCAGTTATCCGTTTTCAGTGCTTCTGTGCTTTTCGGAGTATATATCTGTGGATTTCGATCCGTACCCGCTCCCGTCCCCGCTAAAAGTCAAGAGTTATTTTCACTCGTCGTCTCTAACCTTACTGACATATTCAAACTCAGTTCCTAATCTTTATTTTGTCTCATTCGTCCCCAATCTCTAGTCAAGCATCATTTTCATTTTTTTTCTTTTCTTTTTTTTTTTGTACGAATCACTTGATATCCAAAAAATACATTGAACTCCAATTAATCTTAAATTAAGTTACATTACATTATATAAAAAAAACCCTTTTTAACATATATTTCTTTATTTACAAAATTCGAACTCGAAACCTTATTTTAAAAAAAATCAAATTTCTCTCACTCGAATCAACCGTTCATTGGTCAGCATCATTTAACTAACAAGCAATAAATACATTTAACTTTTGCCTCGTTATGGCTAGGCAAATGCAAAATCTTCCCTACTACCTAGCAGGATATGATACAACAAGGCAAAGAATATAGATTATTCTTCATGGGAAGATATACAGCGTTATATCATAAAGACTGGCCTTGGATTCAATAGAGTTCAATAATTCTCATCATAGCTGTCTTAAAATGAGCAATTAACAAAGATTTAGATGAGAAAATAATCAATACACTAAAGAAAATATGTACAAACTTGCTCCTACATGTGGAAAACTGGAACTCAAAAATTTGACCAGGGAACGCAATCAATTTTTCAATTCCCACCTGCAGCCGGTCAAGACATTTCATCTAACAACCACAAGTACAAGGAAAAAGATCATTTCACAACTACCTCACCATTCCTGTGCATTCAGGTGCCAAAAAAAAAAAAAGGTAAAACAAACCTTTATCCTACCAAAAACAAAAGGTGCCAAGTTTATTATCTTGTTTATGAAGCAATAGAGGGGTGTTTCAATCTCCTCTGATATTGCTGGATTGGGATTCCACTTCAGCAATGGTTGACACTGGTTTAATGTTTGCAAGGGAGATTGGAGTCAATGGTGGCGATGCAAAGTCTGCATCCTTGTCTGGAATCTGAGAACACTCCAAAAGCCTGGAAACATGTAACGCCATCGCTCTTTGATTGCGAGAAGGTATGGAGAAACTCCGAGGGACACTTAGTGGTGGAATTGGAAGAGGAGATGCTGCACTTGATGACACTGAATAACTACTATTTGTCGTGGAAGGCTCTGGACTTCTTAAACCCAATGGAGCAGAATGACCAAGCAAACCAGGAGATTTTGCTGATTTTGCAGCTGAACTAACAGGAGGCCGTGGAAGCTCATGAAGCTCATTTATTCTAGGTGATGAGACAAGGGGAGGTGAAGCAGTTGGGGATGCAATTGGAGATGATAAATGTTGAGGATTTGGCAAATGGGAAAGTATTCCAGAAGCCAACTGGGGAAGTTCAGCAGAGGTTATGGGACCACTTGCTGATAAAACTGGCTTTGATGGGGATTGTTTACCAGTTAATGGACCTGAAACAGCTTTCCTTTTAATCTTTTTTGCATCAGAAGTACTGGATGTATCCTGCTGTGGTGGCAAACGTACCTCTGCCAATGGAAGAGGCAGTTGCATGGAGGCATTACTGCTGTCACTCTCTTTGGATACAGACTGAGCTTTGAAGGTGGTTAGCTCTGCTTGTTGACCATCACGAGAATCTTTCTCATGCTTCTTCTGTTCCAGTGGAGAAGAATGCCACAGATTGTGGCTATGCCCAGAGAGGTTTGCTGGTCTTGTATGGGAAACTGAACTAATTGTTCTTGAAGACATTGTGCTCTTTGAATCGTTTGGTGTGGGCAGCACATACGTGTGAGACTTCCTAGCAGATGACGGAAGCATTTCTTTAACTCTTTCAGCTGGATCAAATTTCCTTTCAGGAAATATGGGGGCTGAATAGCTGCTGGGTCTGTGTTCCCTACCTAAGACTTGTAGTTCTCCTTGGCTCTTATCCAGGCTTACCTACAGGCCACACAAAATTGAATTAAAAACTTAAGGAACTGCATAATGTGAAACAATAAACACAACAAAATTAGAAGCTAGTATTCTAAAAGCTGCATCAGATTTTTTCACAACAAAATCCAAAATACCAGACAGGCAGACAGAAGCACAAGCGAAAACATGTGTAAAGACCAGCATTGAGAGTTTCAATCAACAAATCTGAAAATAGGGACATTTGTACCTCTGCATTTTCTGTCTTTGAAGCTATGGGAAATGAAATGCCCTCTTCATCTACCTGGAGAGTAAGGCACTAAATTTTAGGAGTAAAAGAAGTGTGTATAAAAGAAAATTCTATATAAGAAAATCCATATCATCATAAAAGCTTAAGGTGACAGCCAAATAACAAAATCATAAAAGCTTAAGGTAATTCCATTCCTATGACAAATTATAATAATATCATCTCCTCTCAGAAAGGCATTTGTGTGACTTGTACTTATAAACCAAACCAAACTGTGATCTGTAAATATCAAGGATGGTGAACCCCGTCCCATTAGATGCTAAAGCAAAATGAACATTTATATTTTTAAGTTTTAGGTCTCAAAATTTCCAAACATAGAAGTGAAAAATTATGATGTTAATGAAGAAGCAACTATTCCTTTGAACTTCTGGTCTTGATATACCCTTCAGCCAACTTCAACCCAGACCCAAACACTCATCCCAGACTGGAAGTTGTAACAGCTTGGTACAAGCCCACGGAAGAAGCATTCCCAAAACACTAGGCATAAAATGAATAATTATACATTTCAAGTGGCACAAAAAGCAACATAGATAATTGTGTATGGTGTTGTTCCATTCTTCCAGTCCAGAGAGGATCAGCTTAAAAAAAATAAATAAATAAACTACTTATTTATAGCATCTTTTGCCAATAAACCAAGTAAATTTACAAAGAGAGACAAATCAAACCTCCATTGGATTCCTTGACTCAGAAGTCACATCAAACCCTTTTTCATTAACTCTATAGTCAAAGCTCAATTCTCCATCTTCATTAGTATCATAGCTATTTTCACCATCTTCCCCATCATCATCTTCAAGGCCAGAGAATTGGTAATCAATGTGTTGCTTTTCAGTAATCATCTTAACATGCGGCTCAAGGGCCTCAAGTGATTTAAGTCCTTTCAGAAAGAAATTCAACTGCACTCAGAACATAAAGAAGAGAAAAAAGTCACCTATTGTTGTTCCACCACTGATAAGAATAAAATTTTTTGAAAATTGAAACTTGAGAATATGGAAAAAAGGTTGGCTAGATAACAGAGAAAATATGAAAAAAGGAAACCTGAGCCGCATGGTGGCGAGCTGCTTGTGTTAGAAGGCTTCTTGACTGACCTTCCTTAAGAGATTTCAACCGGAAAACACATAGGGTTGCCTCTTCATTATATTCATCATGAGCTGTTTGTAACTGCTGTGAAGTGACAGTCTCACCTTTCCCACTTTTTGACCTTCCTTTCTCTTTTTGTTGTGCCATCATGTATTCATATACATTTCTGAAGAATGAAGATCACAAAAAGAACTCAGAAAGGACTTACTGCAACCAAAGAAAAATAGGAATGTATAACAAAAATGTACCTTTTTTCATCACATTGCCGTTTCATGTCCTGCATTAACCCCCCCCCCCCCC